TGGGTGGGCGGCGGGCCGTGGCAGGTTGGCTGTGCCGCGGGCAGGAGGGGCAGGAGGAGGGGCAGTTCCCAGAACCTGCTGGCGCCCCCCCAGCCATCCCGCTTATCTCTGACCGAGCCACGCTTTTGGGTCAGGGCGACCCGCGGGGCCGGGGAGGGCAGCTGGGGTCGGGCGGCTGCTGTCCCCCATGGCAGACAGCCCCATCCCTGCCGTAGTTGGCTGCGACCCCCTGCGTGGGTTTCCATCCAGCCCTGCTTGTCCCTCTCCTTCTTGGGGTGAGAGCTGCGGGCAGACCCCACGGCTTGGCCCTGGTGCAGCAGCGGGAGCAGCTGGAGGGGCTGTCCCGCCACAGTGCCGCCTGGCATCACGAGGTGGGAGAGGTGTCCCAGCACGGTGATGGGGCTGGGCTGGGACCAGAGAGCCAGCAGGTCCTGCCGTGGCCCAAAGCACGTGGGCGCTGCTCCCTGCCCCCCTCCCATGACTGCTTTTCCAACCAGGTTTTCACACTTTGGGATGCAAATGAGCCCTTCCTCCGTGCAAGGAATCTGAGGGAACTGGTTTCTGCACTCCCATCCATGACTGCCGAGGGGACATCGGGATGGTCACCGTGGGGCGATGGTGGCTGGAAGGCACCCGCATGGAAAAGGGAACCTCTCCCTGCCCCAGGGCAGCACCTGCCTGCAGGGACGGCTGCCAGGTGCCTGCCTGCATCTCCCTGCCTGTGTGCAGCACAAGGTTGCCTGCGCCTCCTGGGAACCTGCAGCAGAGCACAGGGATGGCGAGCCAGAGCAGAAGGCAGCCACATGCTGGTTTATTCTGTTTCAGTGCTGCTATGCGGCCGGGGCTGACAGGGATGCAGGGGTTTGCCTCCATTCCCAGGCTGCGTGGGGGAGTGCGGGCAGTGCGCAGCCCTCAATGGCATGGCTGGAAGGAGCTGGGGGCGCTGGGGACCCCGGCCAGGACCCCTCAGAGCGATGCTGGTGCCCTCTCGCTGGCGGTGCTGGGACGGGTGCAGGTGTCTTGTTCACTCACAGGGGTGCAACGGCAGCAAGGTGGGGAGCATCCCCGAAACAGCACCTCCCAGCACAGCCCTCCCCAGCCAGGGCTAGGCTGTGCCTGGAAGAGATGGATGAGGTGGTCAGTGCAGGATGAGCGGTCCCGCTCTGAGGGATTGGGGATCTCCGGGGTGCCCCCACCCTGGTGCCCACCAGCCTCCCTTGGTCCCCTCCAGTCTGGACCCATTGCAGGGGCAAGACCTGTGTGGTGCCCCGGGCTGCTGTGTCCCAGGAGGTGGAAGGCTGGGGGGTGCCTTACCCCGCAGCGGGGGGACGCATGCCCGGCCGCAGTCCCGCAGGCAGCACTTCTGACTTGGGGGGCAATCCTTGTCCTGCAGGCACAGGAGGAGGCACTCGGCCACCCGGTCACCATCGGTCGTGGGGGGACAGAGCCCGGGCCGTGCTGGCACATGCAGAGAGACGGAGGGGTGAGGGGATCGCCCCCTGCAGGCAGGACACCCCTCCGCGGTGGGGGAGCTGCCCTGCCCACAGGGGGTGAGCCCCTCCACCAGCTCCCGCCCCATGGGGACAGCAGCTGGGTCTCTGCCCCCAACATCGCCCCCCAGGAGGGTCACGGCAAGGAGCAGCCCCTGGGGAAAGCAGGTACAGCCAAGGGGGTGCTGGCCCTGGCCGGGGGGGCTCAGCCTGGGATGGGGCAGGGTGAGGATGTGGAGGGGTCTCGGCCCCACAGGGGTCCAGTGGCTTTACCCTCAGTGGGTGGTTTGCAGACGTGGCCACAGCCAGCGGAGCAGCCATT